GCCAAAAAAAAAAAAAAAAAGAAAACAAAAAAAATAGTGATGGCACTCTCAGGTTTGCATGGCATTTCAGACCTCTGATTTCTAAAATGATAGGAACTGGAGTCTGAGTTCTCTTTTTCTCTTTGATTGTTAAGGACTCCTATTGTGGTTGATAGGCTTTTGATCCTAGAGATTGCTGGTATTGTATCACCATAGCTGTCCTGGTTAAATTCTTTAAAATCTGTGGGGTTTTTTTTACTATAAAAGTAGGAAGACTATGGAAATGATCTCTGGTTCCCCTCTCCTTTAACTTTAATCTTAAGGTCAAAATCATGGTGCCTTTTTTTCCCCCAGGCATTGCCTGAGGTATAGGTCAGTGAGCTCTATAAATCAAGTATTGGCACAGAACAATAAATTATTGGGAATAACACTTGTGCTTCTTACTGAGATGGTGAATTTGCTGGGAGTGTGATTTCTTTCTTCTTTAGCTGGACTTAGAGTTAACAGCCCGACATGAGCTACAAGTGGAAATGAAAAAGATGGAAAGTGACTTTGATCTGAAGCTTCAGGATCTTCAGGGAGAAAAGGATGCGTTGGATTCTGAAAAGCAAAAAATTGCCACAGAGAAACAGGACCTGGAAGCAGAGGTGTCTCAGCTCACAGGAGAGGTAATGTCTGAGTAGGGAAGGCAGAGTGACCTGTAACTGCCATCAGCAGCCTCCGGATGTGCATGTCTTGGAACAGGAGTCAGTCATCTCACTCCCAGTGAGGGTTCAGCTACTAATTGGTAATCTAGTTAGATGGCATATATTTTTAAAATCATCTACTGTTTTTTGTTTTGTTTTGTTTTTGTTTTAGGGGTAAGTAATGCATAAGACAGGAAATTTGGAAAACACAGAAAAACATTAAGAGTGAAATGAATTACAATACTACCCAGAAATAAAGGGAATAGTCTTCAAATAAATTTAGAAGTAAAAACTAAACTGCTTACATATTTGCTAATCTTCTGTTATTTTAGTCCTCTCTGGACAGATTTATGCTTATACACTCTCTCTGCAGTTGTAAATATTTAAATGATCTGATAATCTGATCACTTACGTGTTTATATAATTATTTGTACAGCATGTACATTAGTTATATAAGTAGAACATTTGATTTACGTGACCTTTACATTTTCTAATCAAAGGGAGAGTTTAACATAAAGTTTGAAGTTTTCTTTTTTATACAAAACGTGCTGAACTAAGAACTTGAAGACCTGAATTCTAGTTTTGGCTCTGCCACTAAATAGCAATGTGACATTAGGCAAATCATGTATCTGTCTGACTCCTCTCAGTCCCTCCATTTATAAAATGAGAAGTCTGGATTAAGTCGTTTCTTAGGTTCCTTCCAGCTCCAGTAGTCCCGAAAGTGGGGTGAGAAATACTCATGTTGATGTTGTCTCTGTAGGTTGCCAAGCTGTCAAAGGAACTGGAAGATGCCAAGAAAGAAATGGCTTCTCTCTCTGCTGCAGTTGTTGCTGTAGCTCCTTCTGTTCCTAGTAGTTCTACTGTCCCCCCTGCCCCTCCTTTACCTGGTGACTCTGGCACTATTATTTCATCTCCACCTCCTCCACCACCTCCCCCTCCTTTGCCTGGAGGTGTTTGCATCCCCCCACCCTCTCCTTTGCATGGGAGTGCTGCCATCCCCCCACCCCCTCCTTTGCCTGGGAGTGCTGCCATCCCCCCACCCCCTCCTTTGCCTGGGAGTGCTACCATGCCCCCATCTCCTCTCTTGTCTGGAGGACTAGGAATGCTCCCTCCCCCCCCTCCTCTTCCTGGTGGTCCTGAAATCCCTCCACCCCCTCCATTTCCTGGAGGCCCTGGCATTCCTCCACCTCCACCTGCCCCATTTGGATTTGGAGTTCCTGCAGCCCCAGTTCTGCCATTTGGATTAACCCCCAAAAAGCTTTATAAGCCAGAGGTACAACTCCGGAGGCCAAACTGGTCCAAGGTGAGAGTTTCTGTCCATTTTTTCATCAGTAGATCTTAATAAACCACTTCAGTTTCCTACTTGGTATTTTGTGCATGGATGGGCTTCCCTTCCTTATAACTCGCACCTGTCTATCTTCAAGTTCCACTCATGTTTATGTTTATTCAGCAGATTTTAGGCATCTCCTGTATGTCAAACATCACCATGGAGAGTTCTATGAGCACCGTACTCTGAACTTATCTTAACTAAACTTATCCTTAAGTTAATGTTTTTTTGCCTTTTCTCTGAGGATATGAATGCCATGGTAACACACAGTTTGATAATAGTTATTTCAACCTATCTGCAAACTCCTGATACTTGTTATATCTAAAAGTCTTGGATTTATGGATATACTCCTCTACCAATCCCCCACCACTCCCCAGGATATGAGTTACATAGGCCATGTTTGCATGACACAGTATTGTTCCCATGATGTGTTGGAGACCCCTATGATTTTGAGTTAGGCTTTCACTTCCAGAAACCAAGTTAAAATAAAGGAGCTTAGGGATTTGTTCATAAAATGAACAAATCTGACATAGTTAGCCAGATTGATGGAAAAATGTAATGTAGAACAAGGGAAGATGTGAAATAAAGCTTTAATGCTTCTGAAGCTAGAGGACTTGGAGATAGGAGGATAGGTATCATAGCTGAATCTAGTTCTTGAATCATCACCAGTAAACAAACTGGAAGCATCATCTCCTGATCCCACCACAAAGAGCACAGCTGTTCTCTGTGTCTCAGGTTAGTCTTACTCTAGTAAGACATTGCTGATAACTAACCAGCCACCTCTTTTGCATCTTAATCAGTTTTTTAAAATAGAAAGTACAGGGCTCAGCTTAGTAACTCTTAATGCCCTGCTTGTATCCACAGTTTGTGGCTGAGGACCTTTCCCAGGACTGCTTCTGGACAAAGGTGAAGGAGGACCGCTTTGAGAACAATGAACTTTTTGCCAAACTTAGCCTTGCCTTCTCTGCCCAGACTAAGAGTGAGTACCTTCCTCTTTAATGCAAAGGTCCAGTGTAGAGTTTAGAATATCCTTTAAGTCAGTTTTCCATTCACTTCCCTTTCCTTGGTGACAGTGGAAAGGGAATGTTGGGTGGAAGAGAGATGGGTTTTTCCCATTTAGAAGAAAATAAGCTGTTTTTGTGTTATGGGTTACTGGGGTTGGGAAAGAGAACTGTTGCCTGTAGGTATTTTGTGTCAGTATAACTTACAGGGATGTGAGATTAAGGTGACAGAAACTCAGTTTGGGCCCATTTTGATGATACTCTTGAATAGATTCTGGCACTACCTTAAGGTACCATCTTTGGACCTGAGTACTTAATTCATAAAGATTGGGTAGAGTTTTTAACAGGTTCGGTGGCTGAGTGACTGTCTGCAATAACAGAGAACCATGTATGATTCCTTTTCTTTCTTCCATTTCTTTCCAATATCGGATGCTTTCTCCCTCCTGGCCCTTTGCTCCTGCAGCTTCCAAAGGTAAGAATACAAAAGAGCCCTTTAGTTGGGTCTTTTGAATACTAGAGAAAAAGATGGAACAGATGTAAAGGAATTTCTTTTTAAAAAACTGAGACCAGAGATGGAGGATTGATTTCTCTTTTACTAGTTTTTTCTGGAGTTCCAAAGGACCAGTAGCTGTTGTGTTAACTAATAGGGAAGAAAGTTATTTTAAGTTGAAGCTACCATATACTTATAAGGGACAACTTAAGGAATAATACCTTACATTTGTGTGGTGTTTTATAATTTTCAAAGTGCCTTTACATATATTACCCTACTTGACCTGCAAAGAAGCCTTATGAGACAGGCAGGATATATATTATCTCCATTCTGTGGCATATACAGACTAGACAATTAGGTGGCTTTCCCAAGGTTTTATTACCAGATCCAGGTGTCTTGACTTCTGGTCCATGTTTTCTATTTAAATTTTTGCTTTTCTTTTTTACCTTAATATGTTCCCCTTTATTTTAGAAGAGCTGATCTGCTTTGCTGTCTTCTTTCTTCACTTCCTAAGTCTTGAGGTTTTGTGCTCTCTGTGATAGGGCATTTGTAGTTATTTCCTCTGAGAGATACAGTATTTGAAAGATTTTGTCATGTATAATGACAGTTATAGCCTAATACTTTTTAATTTCCATCTTCTTTCAGCATTTTTGTTTACTTAGGTGTTTATTATGACCCTAGTAATGAAAATTCGACTTTGGAACTTTTCTTTTCCCTGCTTCACCCCACTTCCTCCCAGTAAATTAGTATTTTTAAAGACAATTATTTTTTTTTCCTTTAATGATCTGGTGGAACGAGGCTGCACGTTGTTCTAATAAGCCCAACAGATTGCTAGGTGCTTTTGGTGGCCCCTAGTAATATATGTGTGTGTGCGTATCTAGAAGTGTAATGTCATAATATTCAGGCCCATCTTGTTGCCCAATCTTTCAGGGCAAAATGTTCTTTTCCTCTAAGAGAACTGTCCTCTTTTATGCTAAAGTCCAGCCTAGGGAATTACTTCCACTCTCTTAGTCAAAAATACTATGGTGTTGACCACTTATACTACTCTAGTGTATCAACAAAGACTAGTTGACAATGAAAGTCACAGTCAAATGATTTCCTAATTTTTAAGTTCACAGAATCTATCCCTGTGTTGGCCTCTGGTGTAAGTTCCTTTCTTGCACCTGGACTCTGCACTCTGAGTATCATTGCAAATGTACACTGACAGGGCCCCTTTTCTCTGTCCCCCAACCCCCTTTTCTGTCCCCATCCTTCTTTTATTCTGTACATTTGTATTTCCATTGAATTTAGTTGGGTTTACTGCAGTTTAGTGGTCTTCCTTCGTATTTTTCTGTCAAATATAGTTATAAGTACTTACTGTTTGCCCAATTTAATAGTTATCTGTGACACTCAGATGCAAAAAACTTTCCTGCTTCTCATTAACCATGCTACATCTACATGTTTTTAATCATTTCCCCCAAATAACAAACACCTCCCCTTTTAAAAAATTATTTCTTTGTATTTTCAGTGTTTTATTGACTCCAGTATTGTCTGATTTATTTTTTTTCTTCTATATTTTCCAGCTTTCTTTCCCTTTGAGTTACTCTGTAAATCTGTGGTGATACAAGAAGTATTTGAATGTTAAGACTTGTTTTAATGTGTGTCTCTTGGGGACAAAATAGTTGCTTTAACATTTTATGCATGGGTATCAAGTAGCAGATGGAAGTGCTGCATATGGGACCAGTGTCATGTATAACACCTGTTGTGATTGGGGTAACTAAGTTGCCCTGCCTTTCTTGATGCTGCTTTGAGCCTTCCTCTCTTGATGCCAAGGCTAGCAAATTCATTACAGACTATTCCCAAGTGACTCCTTTCCTCACAGCTTGCCCAAAAAAGAACACTTGAGTAAAAGGCTTTGGGCTTCTTAGAGTTGAGGTTTTTGCCAGGTAAGGAATTTCAAGCTTTCAAAACTGCAGAGGTGAGGACTCAGAGGTCCCAGATCTCAGTATGACAGCAAGGTTTACTTTGCTTCCAGTGCTTTAAATATTTCTGGTATAAATATTTTAGAAAAAGACCTTCATCTTTAATCCTTTTTTTCAGTAGTTCTTAAATACTGAATTGAATACCGAACAAGTTCAGTTTGAATACTGACACCAATGTCAGTTGCGAAGTCTGTCATTCATAATCTTAATATAGATGATATAATTAAATGATAGATAACTACTCATTACCACCCTGTAAATATTCCATCTTCCAAATGAAGAAGTAGAAACATGGTTAAATCACTTTTTCAAGACTATATAGTAAGTGCTAGAGCTGTGGTTCAAACTTCAGACTAAGACTCCAAAGTCCTGCTCTAGCTCTGTGCTTCCCAGAAGTGAATGTACTTGCTCTAAGAGCCTCTGAAAGCTTAGATCCAGACAAAAACTGGAAGAGAGATTCTGGCTTCAGCAATCACTTCATTCAGGCATAAATGTCCTTGAATCGACAGTGACTCTTATGAGAACAAGAAGGGAACATTAGATCAGGGAAAGTAAGATACTGAATATTTAGGATTATATAAGAGGAGGTATGTTCTGATTATAGTATATTCAACTCCAGCAAAACTAATCCGATTGGAGAAATAAGACATGCTTATCTAGTACAGTAAAAGCCCTGCTTAGATGATTTTAGCACAGTAGTTGCCAGTGTTGATGAGGAAGTTATTTGGACACTAGGTTTTCATCATATTGCATTATTTCCTCTCTAGCTTGCTAAACACAACTCTCAGCTATTTGTTAAACCTGCCTGTATCCCCCTTATGTTTTATTGATACCTAAAACCTCCCATATACTACTGGTTCCCCCAAGAATGAGAACTGAAGAAAACACCTGCCTCACTCTGCACATTTGCTTGCTGTAGTCAAAGGTCTCCGGCCACTGCTTCATTAAGATTTAAGAATATGTGTGCCTTTCAGTAAGAGAAGAGCTAAGAGACAGGAACTGGTCCTAAAACTTTACAGATTCTCCTATACATTCTTTTTCTCTTAAGGATTAGTCTCATGTTTCTGAACTCTTTACTTCCTATAAATCAGGAATTTACTTACTCAGTTAATTTATTCACTGTCAGGGAATAATTTGAATTCAGATTTGATAGGCAGTGCCATAAAACTTCTAGTGCTTTTTCACTTTCTTACTTTCCTTATAGTAGTCGGCTAGGAGTCATTTATCATGGACTCTTTGTTGGCTCTGCTTTTGAATTTTTTGGAAACATGTCCAATACTTAAATTCCATTTTTTTTCATCTTCTCCAAGGGAACATTTTCATCACTGTTGTGGTTTTTCATTTTCTCTTCCTTCTAACTCTTACTCTTCTTTGTTGATGACATGATCCTGTTAAAAATTTCACTGCTGGAACCATAGTGTGCTGAGTGATAACTGATGTCCTAAGTACAGTGACTTTTCCTTTTAGGTTTATTCCTTCCTTCTGAAAACCTTTTGGACTCATAAGATCCAAAAGCTAATCATGCTTAGTAGGTGTGCAATGGACATTAGACCTGTTAAAATATGAGGTGCATTGTGGGAACTGTATCAGTACAGTTTTCCAAGTGTTTGATATCAGTAATTAAAAAGAACTGTGGCTAAAAATTAAGATCTTGACCAAGAGCTGAGAATTTCATAAAAAATAACAGTATTGTAGTTAGGATTTGATTGTGTAGGTCCAGATCCCAAAGCTTATACTGTTGGCAACTTAGGTAGATTTACCTGTCTGCTGCTCTTGTGTAACTTTCTTGGTTCAGGCTTCAGCAGGAGCCTATGGTGGGAAGCAATCCTCTCTTTTTCAAAAAGGATATAAGGGTCTTTTTCCTTGTCTCTGTGATCCTCTTCTGTCCACTAGGTGGCATTAACCCACTTGGACCTTTATTAGTGTTAGTGAATCTTTATAGCTTTTGCTTTCACCTTTAGAAGCAAGATTTTATAAGAGGTCAATCTGCCTCACCCTGTTCAGTGAGTCTCTGGGTAGAAAGATGTCTATTCCATCAGTTCCTTACTCCTCTCAAGTGTATAGGATTAGGACCAGAAGTACTATTCAAATGAACATTTGTTGAGATTGTTAACTTTTAATTACTAGCTTCTTTTGGGTTTTGAGTAGGGTCAGAGTATTAGCACAAAGCAATTGGTAAGTTCTGTAATATCAGATAATAGACCCTTATAATTTAAAAATATAAACCTACCTTTATCACCCAGGGTTATGAGGAGTCCTGCACATGGAATAAGTACCACAGCTCCTCCAGGTCATTAAGTCCCTATCATCAGTGGTATAAAAAGGGAACCTAAGCTACCCGCTTATATATGCTTCTATACCCCAACCTTACAATCATTATTTGCCTTGAATCCACTAGATCTAATATTATGCCATTTATCTTAGTTTATGTCACTCATCACAGGAAGCCCCAGTCTCCCAGGTCACCCTTCATCTCCCATACTCTAACCTTCATAAGGTTCTGTGTATTTCCAATTCTGTCTCCTCCCATCCCACCTAAGCTTCTGAAATCAGTCCACTGTGCCCTCTGAAAGTCACTGTTCATTACTAGAAAAATCTCCTGTATCATCAACTTCACTTTGCTCTAATGGAAACCTGGCTTTCCCTCAACATCTGCTTTCCCTTTGCTTTCTCATGTGGTTGTTTTTCTGTCCTCTCATAAACCTCACTCCAGTGGGCCTAGAGAGGAGAGCAGATGTCCTCTTTGTTCTTTATTGCCACTTGCAGATCATTCTACTTTTCTTTTTCTTAAAAACCAACAATTTCAAATCTCCTGAAATCAAATTATATCACCCAGTTCCTCTCTTTGTGCTATCGTCTTCTAATACCCCAAGTTACTCCCTCATTTCTCAACCAACTTAGTTCCTGGTCACTCTCTCCAGTACTCCCAGTACTACTTCTGACTTAATTCTTAATAATTTCTATACAAAGGGGTTATGATCATATGAGTATTCTGACCTTTCAATTCCTTGAATTCTTCTC